CAGAGCATCTAACCATAGGGCAGGCCCCGTGCTGTGTTTCTCCCCACACCCACCTCTCATAGCCCAGACAGCAGTGCACGTGAACAGCCACCTGCCAAAACCTTTGGGGGCTCTGGAGCCAGCAGTTAATATTTATGGCAGCCTCCCTGCTGACACCTTTATTCAGCAGTGCTGGGTACTGTGGGGCTTGCAGGGCAGCACTGTGAGTCTCTCCATCCGAAATCACATGTTGTCCCATCACAGCTTCTTCACTCCATCACTGCTGCCCTTTGGGACCCTGGGTCAGCTCTGGAATGGGGCTGGCACTGCTCTTACTGTGAGGACTGGTGCATACAGCAATGTAGAAGGGAGGGGAAGGGGGCATGGGGAGAGATGCTCACTTGTCCTTGGCAGAGCAGCGCACAGAACCAGCGAACACAGCAGCTCTGAGGGCAGAGGAAAGCACTGGCAGCTACAAATTACTAATCAATGTCGGGTAACAACAACAGCAGCTAATAATGAAGGGCTGATCAGCTTACTATGGCAGTAATTATTCCTGACACCAGCTCTCTGAAGGAGCATCCAGGCTTAGCATGCTGTCTACCATGATGATAAACCAAGATAACTGGAGAAATTTCATGCTGGAGAAAAGGAGGGGGAGAGAGAGAAGAGGGAGAAAAACTCAGCAATTAGCTAGACTAGTGGTGCTAATTACGCTGTGAACGGTGTGCGGGCTTTGTCAGAGCTAACTTTGAGCCTTCCCCACGATGCTATTGAGGTACGTGAGTGCCAGCATGCCTCTCACACAACCACGGTGACAAGCAGTTTTGGCAGCTGGTTTGTTTCTGAGAGCAGCAGAGCTGGCTGCTGCCTGCACCCAGCTCCACACCAGCCCTTTGCCACCACTGGTGCTTGGGGACAAGCTTCTCACTGCTGTATCATTTCTCTGGCGCTCCTCTGTATGCACTCCAACAGGTCCTGTCTCTCCTATACTGAGGACTCTACATCTGGATGCAGTGTTCCAGGTGAGGTCTCACCAGTGCAGAGCAGAGGAGCAGGATCCCTACCTCACCCTGCTGGCCACGCTGCTGTGGATACAACCTGGTATTTGGTTGGCTTTCTTAGCTGTGAAGGCACTCTGTTGCCTCATGTGCAGCTGCCATCCACCAGCACCTCCAAGTCCCTTTCATCACAGCTGTGCTCCATCCTTACATCCCTCAGCTTGTACTGATAATGGGGGCCGCCACAACCCAGGTGCAAGACCTTGTGCTTGGATTTATTGAACCTCATGAGGTTCACCTGTGCCCACTGCTCAGCCTGTCAAGGTCCCTCTGGATGGCATCCGGCCCCTCTCATGTGTCAACTGCACCCCACAGCTTGGTGTCATCAGCAAACTTGCTGTGGGTGCTCTCAATCCCACTGTCAGTGTCACTGATGAAGATGTTAAAGAGCACCAGTCCTGGCACTGACTCCCAAGGGACACTGCTCATCACCAATCTCCATCTGAACATTGAGCCATTGACCACCTCTCCCCAGATATGGTCTCATAGCCAGTTTCTCTTCCATAGAACAGTCCACCCATCAAATCCATATCTTTCCCATTTGGAGAGAAGGATGTTATGGAGGACTGTGTCAAAGGCCTTAATTTTACCCCTGCCCCTCCATTCCCCATCCCATTCCTCCATCTAGCATTCCCCATTCGATCTCCCTTCATCTCCACCATTCCCATTCCCCACCTCTTTCCCCATTCAGAAACACGAGATTGAAAGCCTTCATTTAACGATGTGACTGATGGGTGTGTGTTCAAAACACACCACCTCCATCCAGCAAGCTGTGGATACCATGGAAAACAGAGACCCCATCATTCCCACCCTCCAGATGAAAACAAGTGCCCACCAACACCCACAGCTTGGCAAAGGAAGACCTCCTAGAGGGACAGTGGTGTGAACACACATGTGCTACCCCCACACCCGTGTGCTTCACGCCGCTAGAACAGGTGAGAAAACCATGTAGCAGCCCCACAAGCATGCTATCACACCTGCCTCCTTCACCCTCTTCTCACCCAAGCAGCCGTAAATAAAGCGCACAGCTTTCTCACACCCTTCATTCAGGAAGCTGCCAAATTGCTCTCTCAGCCTTGTGCTCAGGGCGTCCCAAATGTCCTAGCACGTCCCCACATCCACCTCCTACCCCTCTGCCCCCCCAGCACTGCCACGGCGCCCCAAATCCTATTACAGGGCAGTGCCAGGGGGCTGCAGCTCCAGCCCTTGCACAAACAAAATCCTATTACAACAGAGATCCTGATTCCAGTCTTTATTTACAGAAATTATTATTACAAGGGACCCTGAGGGAAATCATGGTTGTGGGCTTTATTCGCTGAATTCGTCATTGCGAGGGAAGAAGCCTCGTAAGACTTTGAGGCAGATAGCGAGATGTGAACTGCCTCTGAGTTACGTGTCAGGGAGCGGGGAGGGGAAGGAAAACACCAACCACAGCCTGAGCTGCTGCAGGAGGAGGCGAAGGGAAAGGCATGCATATTTCTTTTGTCCAGCCCAAGGCAATTTCCATCAGCAAGGTGCACTAAATCCTTTGTACCGCTTGATTAAATTACAGCTGACCTAAGCAGAGGCTCATTCTGCAAAAAGGAGCAGCCCAGCCTCAGCGCAGTCCGCAGGACAAAGGGCTGAACCTTGGCCGGGCAGCGGAGCAGCTCGGGGGGATGCTGGGAAGGGAAGGGTGCGGGGAGAAGCTGCAGAGCACAGGCAGAGTTTTTGCTGTGGGCGTTGGGTGGATGGCAGAGTGCAAACGGCCGACAGCAGGGGGAATCGATCCCAGTTCTGATCTGGTGAGAGGTGCCGGCACCAGCACTGAATGCCAATGCCGGGCTGGAGCATCTGCCTTTGGGGGGAGAATACAGATGAGCAGGGGAGCAGAGTGCCGAGATGCCATATTTGAATGTGCAGAAATTCGTCGAGGTGTGAAATCCTGGGCACCATCCTGCTTGCATCCCAGTGCTCAGAGCCCTCACGCATTGCTTTCACAGAATCATAGAATCACAGCATGGTTGGGCTGGAAAGGACCCCAAAGCCCACCCCAGTTCCCCTGCCATGGGCTGGCTGCCAACCAGCTCAGGCTGCCCAGGGCCCACCTGTGGCCTGGGGCACCTCCAGCTCTCTGTGCAACCTGGAACTTCGCTGGTACAGATCTAGGGTGGTTTAACCCAATGCAGGCTATGGATGCTCTGGAAGGTCCCACCAGCACAGCCTAGGGTTTGAAATCAGCAGGTGACCAGAATGTCTCTCCAGGAGACGCCTGGAGAAATGCATGGGGGTAACTTCAGCTGCTCAACTTCTGAAACGGGGGCTGCAGCCAAAACACTGCCTCCACCAGGAAGGCCATCAGCTTCTTCACTTGGGCACAGTGCAGGGAAACAGGATGCTAGCCTCTGAGAGCTGTTTACCATCATGTCGAGGTGAATCTGGCCATGCAACCTCTTACCTGCATGCTCAGAACAGCTCTGCTCCAGCTTTCCATCTCCAGCCACACACAGTGGCGCAGACACACCAAAACAAATCACATGCAGGACGAAAAGCACCACCCCTGGGAAATCTGCATGCAAGGAAGGCTGAGAGCCTCCCCCCAAAACTTATACAGCACAAGGTTATTCAAATCCTTCTCCTGCCGAGACAGTCTCTTTCAATTTGCTCAGTGGAAGCATTTCACGCCTCACCTGCAGACTGCTTCCTGAAAGAGCAGGAACCATGGAAAAGTTTGAGCACAGCAGAAAGCCAGACCTGGAGCATGCCTCTTGTTTGCTGCTTCTCCCCCACTGAGCTGTGCAAGGAGCTTGCCATTAGCATACGAGCAGCAGAGAGCGGCCCCAAACTAAAGGAACAATGAGGGCTCTTTCTGCAAAGCAGTCGTGCTTTTTCTTCTTTTTACGGCACAATTGGAGGCTAAACTCACACTGAAATAACACTGCTGGGGATGAGTCAGTCTTTGCTTGTTGTCAGCTGGAATGAGGCTGAAATTGCGTCGCTTATCAGCTCTGAGCCAGCAGGGATGTGGCTGCGGGACCTGTGAGCCATGCTGGGGTTTGCTGAGCCCAAAACAGGGACATTCCCACTGCCCCAGCCATTGGCTTCATTCCTCCAGCATTGCTTCAGAACTTAAAACCAAGTTAAGCCACTGCTTGCAGAGACAGCGACTGCCTCTTGTAGCTGCCTATGGAGGAGAAAACTTGTTGGGGGTTCAAAGGCAATTTTAGCACCAAATTGTGACAAGTTCTTAATGTTTTCAAGCGGAGTCCTGCAGGTCAATGGATGTAGACTCACTGATCATAATCCTCTGAATAATCACGCCCAGCTCTTGGCTGGCTGCCTGCCTGACTCCGACCCTGCTTTAAAGTCAAGACCACATCTTACAGCTGCATTTTTTAGGTGGAAAATACTCCCTTACCCCAGAGCTGCAGAGCAGTGAGAGCAGGAGCAGGCACAAGAGCAGAGGGGGTGAATGTTCAAGGAGAGTCCTTTGGGTGAGAGATCATAGAATCATAGAATCGTTAAGGTTGGAGAAGACCTCTCAGATCACCAAGTCCAACTCCAACCCACCCCTACCATGCTCACATCCCTCAGTGCCACATCTCCATTGTTCCTCAGTATCTCCAGGCACAGTCACCCCACTACTTCCCTGGGCAGCCTGTGCCACTGCATTGCCACTCTTTTGGAGAACAAATGTTTCCTAATACTCAGCCTGAGCCTCCCCTGGCACAACTTGAGGCCATCACTTCTCGCCCCTCCCCATCTCCACGCAGCCCTTTGCCTGCAGGGGAGGTGCACGTGCCCCCATGCCACATTCAGCCCCAACAGGCCATGACTCGACAGCACTTTCCTTCTGTAATTTGGAACGCATCAAGCTGTGTAATGCCAGCTCAGGCTCAGTGACTCACATCGGAGCGGGTATGTGAGAGATCACCTCTTCCCCAAATACATATAATTTCGGCTGACAGCTGTAATGGGCATTGGAGGCCTGCTCTGTGTGTGAGATGCGGCCAGAGATCACTGCAGCCTCCATTCTCTGCCTGGAATGCAAAGGGAACGGTTGGCATAGTGGTCTGTGCTTCAGGGAGCGTGAACCAGGCACAGTGAATCTGATAGAGGAGCTGCAGGTTTGTTTGATGATTTAATCGATACGATAATTATATTAATTCAGTGGTTTGATACAAAGCCACTTCCTTTCTATTTGATTTATATGGGAGAACTTCATTTCAGAATTTTCGTAACTCTGATGGTCAAATACATTAGATAGAAAATGTGTTGATCCAGGGCTGGGCCACAGGACCAACACACCAAGAGAGAACATAGCAGAGATGCACCTACATCCTTTGGTTCCACCTGGTGATAGAAAGGAGCTGGCGTCAGGCATAGAGCTGTTTCCATTTACAGGGGAAGAAATATTGAAGTGCCTTCCTCCGGGAGGTACATTTTTGAGCTGAGTTGCTTTAACCTTGTTTCCTAAGGAAACCGCAGCCAGAGAAGCCAATTAGCAGCACCACCGCCCTTGCCCAAAGGCGCGATCACATGATGAGCACCATCCTCATTAGCGACAGCTCAGAGTGAGCCACTGCAAGAGGCTGATGTGGTGGTGGGAGCTGGGTTGTGCTGAACTGCAGGGTTCCCTGCCCAGGCAGTGCCAGAGGAGATGTGCTGTGGGCAGCCCCACGCCATCCTCCTACCAGTAATCCCACGGTGTCCCTGCGGGTCCCTCTGCAAGTAGCACCATCCCTTCTGCAAGGAAGAAAAGATTCCAGGTTAAAAAGGTCTGGACAGCAGCTCCCGCTCCCACCCCGATCAATGAAGCTTGCTAATTAAAAGCAGTTGACCTGAGCAAAGAGAGGCTCAGAGGAGATTAGCCTGAGGGAGACGAGATTTAAGAATTAAATTACTTGACTGCTCTGTACCATATTATCCCATAACCCTGGCTCTCCCTCCTCCCACCTGCAGGTAACACACACACGTCTGACTTCCAGGTGACAGCCCAAACACAGCCAGGTGGCACCTCCTTTCTCCAGCGTCAGCGTAGAATCACATAATCATTAACACTGGAAAAGACCACTGAGATCTCCAAGTCCAACTACCAAACCATTCCCACCATGCCCATGAACCATTTCTCTCAGTGCCACATCTCCACGTTCTCTGCCATGCCAACAAGCATGCACGCAACCCCATCCAGCACTCAGCAGATGGGCCCTCACTGATTTGTTTCCCCAGGCCTGGCACTACAGCACCCGATTAGCAAAAATCAAACAGAGGGCTGTGCTCTTCGGAGACCTCTCACATCTTGTTTGCTGAGCAGCTCTGCTCACGTCAGCAGGAGCTGCAGAGCCTCTGGAAGCGCTGCTAATAGGAGGGATGTAACGCTGCCTTGCTTCAGGAGAGCTGCCTGTGAACGTGGGGGTTTTTCCATACGAGAAGAAATTGTGGTGGGGATGTGAAATAGTGTCTCCTTCAAGCATAGAGATTTGAAGGCCTCCATCATCAAATGAGTGCACAGGAATTTGCCCAGGACATGTGCCATGTGCACAGAATGGTCCCAGGAGAAAAGAGCAGTTGCCTCACAGAACACTTGGGAGTTGGTGGCTGTTCCCTATATAGTCTTGGCACTCATTTTCTCCTAAAAATCACTGTGTTGGAGTTGAGGGGGCTAAGAGCAAGAAAAGAAGCCATGGCAATCTGCTTTGTGTAACTTATCTATCCGCCGCCCTGTTCTCGCCTGCACCCCATTTCTCCAACCTTCAGAGCCAACTCAGCCTTCCTTCTATGGTTAGACTCTGCTTCTCACTGCCATGCAGCCTCCACCAACCTGCTGACTGTTTTGCATCCAGCAGGACTTGGACATGCCTGAAACTGCACTGAACATGAGAAAAAAGAAGTTTGTATTTCAACACCCGAACCATAGTCACGTCCTGTTCCTGCCTCTTGTCCCCTGAAATAAACTGTTTGCAACAAACAGTTGCTCAGGATGCACCAGCAAGAGGTGCTGCTCAGGAATTAGGACTCTAAGACACGACTACCAGGAATAAAAAAGAAGGAAAAAAAAGACACCTACTTGCAAATGTCAACCAAAGAAAAAATAATTCAGGATGAGGAATGTAGGCGCAGCCAAGCTGCATCTCAGCAGGTCAGTAATCCATATCCCTCTTCAGAGGAGAGTGGTGTAGCAGTGCAATAGCAGGGGTGCATTGCAGAGGTGTCCAAGATGCTGAGAGGCCATACAGCTTGCAAGGCACAGCTGGCCTATGGGGACATCATGTCTTACCCACTTACGTGGCTTAAGCTGCACGAGTAAAGGTACCTGAGATGTTATCATGTACTGCCGTCAGAGTGTGAGCCCTAATTCTCCTGCTGCCACCCCCCTGTTGCCCCACCACTTTCATTACCGGGAGGGAGCCGATTGCAAAACCAACCACATTTTCTTCTGAAGGGAAGAAATTTCATCAGAAATGCAGAAAAACATCTTCATCTGACTTGTGAAGAAAGAGATTGCTTTAGAGGAAGCTCTTCTCATCAACGACCCCTCCCTCCTGCCCAAAGGCAAGAGAAACACGGGAAGACGTGAAGAGAAGCAGCACTGGGTAGTCCATCAGAGCAGGTTGCTGAGCCATCCCTTCCAGCTACCTGGCTGAAATTCAAATGTGGGATTAGCGTCTCTGGCACACTCTTAATAGGAGGCAAAGGAGAAGAAATGTAATGCTTCCTTCCGGCCTTTCAGATCTATGAACCTCTCCCAGGTAGCAGACGGTCTGGTCCATCAAAAGGAGACTAGAATCAGAAATGAGACCCATTTGTCAGATAAAACTTGCAGGTGGGAAGCACCAGGCTGAATTCCTATCAGGCAGGGATGCTGCAGAACGCTGTAGCAGCTGGGAGCCCCAGTTGGGTGAAGGTCAGGGCTGCTTGGCATTCAGCACAGTCACAGGCCTCTCAGAAAACCAAAAAGAGCAAAGGACGAATGCTTGCCCTTGGCAGGTTCACTCCCCTCCAGCTGTGCATGATGGGCTTTGAAGGCTGGGAGCTCAGGGGGCTGGCTTTGGAGAAACAGGGGGGGGAAATGGAGATAGGGCAGAAGAAAAAGGCAATCTTTAAAAAACAGAAAGTGTTTTCGTTCATCCTCTCTTTGGTCACCAAGGCAGCGCCAGCTGTGCCTCGCGTTCTGGGACTGAAAGAAAACTCTAGCTGGAGCTCCTGAGAATTGGAGGCACTTTCGTGCCTCCTTTACTCTGAATTACAACTTACATAAAAATGAGGGTGGCAGGCCCTGAAGGTGCCCTTTAGCCATAAAATGGGAAAAGCACTGCAAAAGACAGACCTTGATGAAACACGTCCCCAAACAGGGACGCTCTGAGCATCCTGTGGGATTGGGGACAGCCATGCTGAAGTCATCCCAACAGCTCCGGACACTGTGGGCACTGCTTTCAGCCCAGAGTCATCCAACTTGAGTGAGCTAAGGGGCTGGTGCCACTCTCAGATTTGGATACATCCCATCTCAACCATCAGATCCCTGCAAGAGAGGGTCTCTTCCACCTCCTGCATTGGACACATACATGGACCAGCAGCTGGGAGCCTCTGACCAACCCCAGCACCCAACAAGCTGCCATCTGCACTGCAGCCTTTCTACAGATTTGTTAAGTTTGTGCCCTGATTGCGTGCCTCAGGCAGATGACAGTTGCTTTGTATGGGACTTGGAGGGGGGAAATTTTATGGCTTGGCTGCTGCCAATGCACAGATGTTACCGGCTGGGTCACGGCAAGGTGCTAAAGGCCTTCAGAACAGTTGCAAAGCATTAATTACGTTCCCACAGCTGTTCTTTAACCCTCACAACCTCCTTTCTTCCAGGGGCTGCCAGAATAACAACTGTGAACGGGAAATCAAAGCAGGAGGCTGTGAAGGCAAGCAAAGCGGAGACGATAAAGGTTATGAGAAACGGCGCTCCGAAAATAGGCCTTTTTTTAAAGCTGTTTGTCCCTGCCATTTTCTCAAACGCCTCCTCCTCCTCTCCCACTTGGTGCAGTGCTCCATTCCAACAGCACCCAAGGAGCAAGGAAATGTGCATGCAAACCCAAAGCATCCCAAGGGAGGTTGGCCTGTGGGCTTGGACGTACTTGGGTTCCCAAGGCCAAAGGGAAAGAACGAACGGTCATGGGTTGCTCACCCCTGCACCCACCACAAACTCAGGCACCCCTGGGCATGGCATAAGTGGGATGCAGTGGTGACGCAGCAATTAGCCGCATCCCCAGTACCAGGCACCAAAAGAGCTTCTCCATCCCCCTTCTCCCTCCTCCTTCTCCTTGCTCTCAGTCAAATGGAGCAGAACTCCTTTCAAGACTTGCAGATGTTGTGCTTCTGAATCATCTGGTCGCATGGCTTGTGCTGGTGAGAGGAAACATGATTGCTTCTGGAACCCTTTGTGCTGCAGCTCCCTGCACAATGAGCTCCCGTGCACTTTCAGGCTAAATAACTTTTTATGTTAGAAATGAAGTCAGGGGAAGGAAAAAAAAAACACAGCCACAACAACGGCAAGCAAACAAGCAGTGACTGAAACGACGTGAGAGCGTGCAGAAAAAGCAACCGTCATGCCTGCTCATCCTCTCTACTGCAGCAGCTTCCAGCACCTTCCAGGTTTACAGAAACAGAAAAGCAGAAGATGACAAGCTCTGCCTGATATCTCCTGGGCTTCTTCAGCTGGAGATGGCAACCACTCAGCACTGTCTCAGCCCTGATCTTCTGTTTAATGGGCTCAGACAGCTGCCCATCCCCTCGTCTGCTGCTGGCACCCATTTCAGCTCCACCACAATCTTTGGAGCTATGGTAACTGTACAAGTCTAATGTACAGACCACAGAAAGGGATCTGTGATGGTATTACACACCCTGGGGCCATGGAACACCACCCCAGCCCACCCCTCTTCTCTATCTGTGCCCTTCACACCGCACAGACACCAGCATCCCACCAGGACGGACCCACAGCCAGACAACACCAGGAAGAAGGCTTTCCTGGATCAGACTGCATTAGGCACCTCTGGAAACTCCCATAATGCTTCAATATCATGGAAGGAGACAACACTTCCATCTACCTAATAGAATTCTTCAGCCACACGCAGTCACGTAGCCAAAGCCAGTGACTTCAGAGCAATGCTCAGCCAAGACTTTTGTTTTCAGCAGAATAATTTAATACCTCACTCTACAGAGCACTTTCGCCTCCAGATATCCGAACGGTTCAGAAAGACAGGGTCGGCTCTTCCAGCAAAACAAAAACCACAAAACAAATCAGCAGCACAACTCGCATCACCTCTGATCCAGGAGCAGCAGCTCCTACCTGCCCACACCCACTGTCCCAGCACGGGCGGCTCCTGCAGCAGCTCTCTTCTGATCTCCCCATCTCCCTGCTTCTTCTCCCTAGCGCTTTTTTTTTTTTTTTTTCTTTATCATTTTCTGCCTCCCAATTGAAGTTACTTAAATTTCACAGAGGGGCTGACATGTTCTGATGAAGACGATCCCATCAGTGTTATTGTCTGGCTGCCAGCTCCTGGGAAACAGGCGAGGCACGAGGGTGGTTGCTGTTTTTAACCAGAGGCCATGTCTGACTCGAGCATTCGGGGAGCTAATGCGCACCGTGCAGTGGGAGGGAGGGCTTGGAAAAGCAAACACAAAGCTTTATTTTTATATTTCATTCTTTCTATAAGAAAAATAAGCCAGGGACTTGAAGGGGAGTGAGGGGAGTCAGGGGGTTGTTTAAATGCAGGATGACAGGCTTGGGGCTGGAGCAGCCTGCTGGGCATCCTGGATTGCCCTGGGTCTCCAGGGTTGAGATGGCACGGACTTGCTATTAGAAAGGAGACACACAGCTTAGCAGGTCCTGTTGTGATAAGACAAGGGGAAATGGGTTCAAACTAAAGGAAGGAGATTTAGACTGGATAGAAGGAAGAAGCTGTCTAACAATAAGGGCAGTGTGGCACAGGCTGCCCAGAGAGGTGGTGGTGCCCCATCCCTGCAGACAGCCAAGGTCAGGCTGGATGGGCTCTGAGCACTGATGGAGCTGTGGGTGCCCCTGCTCAGTGCAGGCAGTGGGACCAGATGGCCTTTAAGAGTCCCTTTCTACTCAATTCTATGGTTCTACTCCTCTGCACACCCAGGGAGGGTCTATGCAATGGGGTTCCTGCTCCCCAGGCTGCCCACAGCCCTTGGGGTGCACTGCCAGTCACATCTAGAAAAGATGGACAGGATGAGCACATCTGATGCTAATCCCCTTGAAGCAGCAGAGAAAAGGTTAAAAAAGGAGATTTATAGGCATATATCTTTGCCAGAACTACCAGGTGATCATGTGTACACATTTCTCTACTCTAAGACCTAATTTTCCACCATTTCCCTTGATTTGCTGTTCCTTTTCTCCCATTTCCTTGATTTAGGGCCCAATTATTTCTTGTCCTCTTGCCAGTGAAACAAAATATTTCATAAGCACTCCTGCCGCCTCTTCCCGCTCTGTTCCTCCTCTGGATGCAGGTCTCAATGCCTGACTCATGCCTCATGTTCTGCAAAATTTAGAGTATTTTAGTGAACACCTAACGATAATTTTACCATTTTTCACAGTGATGCAAATGGGCTTTGGCACCGACCAGCTCAGCGCTGAAATCCAAGCAAGCCCGTGTCTGCCTGAAGCTCTGGCAGGGCTCTGCAAAGCAGTCCTTGGGGATCATCGCCTGGGAACAGTTACCTCCAGGTGAAGCCATTTGCATCCCTTGCTGCAGGCTGGCTTGTTGATGTCACTGCTGGTACAGGGAGAAGACAGACAGGTGAACTTTACAGCTCCCCCAGCAGCACTCCTGAGCAGTATGCAAGTCCAAGCAGGACTGCCACCCCAACACAAGTAGGCCCAGGGTATGGTCCTTGTATATAGAGAACAAATTCTACCCTCATTAAAAAGAGTCATAGGGAATAAGGAAAGGACAATGCCTGTCCCCAGCAGGCCCTCAGTCTGCTCTTCCAGGTACAGTCAGATCTGCCAAGTGGTCCATCACTGGCCACACCAGAAGACAGACTGATAGATGCCTGTGCACTGGGCATCAGCCCTTGGGAACAGCTCCAGGCAAACACTCTCTTCTCCCCTTGGAGCAATGGTTTTACAACAGCTTTCCATCCTTCCTCCTCCCCCTGCCTAGGCCCGCACAATCACGGCATATAGCATTTCTATAGCATCCTCCTACCAGTCCCCATAATCATTTCCAAACCTGTCACAATACAGCACAACCATGAAAAAGACAGTTAAAATGCTATTTCAACACCAGCAACCTTTCTCAGGAAGATATATTTGTGAAGTTTTGTGAGCTTGGGGAACGACTGCACAGATCAGAGGTTCCCCAGCCTGTGAGTGAGGAGAAAAAGCTGTTTTCCCTGAATCTAGCATAGCAGGGACTCAAAGCTGGATCTGCTCTATCCTGAACTCATGCCTCATGCCCCAGCTTCAGTCTCTCTCACAGCCAGTGTGTTTTTCATGCAAGCATATCCAGTGAGGGCATCTCCAGGGAATGGGCTGCCCAAGGAGGTGGTGGGATCACAGTCCCTGGAGGTGCTACAGAACTGATGTACAGAACTGAGATGTAGCACTGAGGGACATGAGCATGGTTGTTAGGTTGGACTTGGGGATCTTAGTGGCCTTTCCAACCTCAGTGATTCTGTGATCCTATGAAAGATGCTAAGCAGTTGGAGAAGAGGATATAGGGATGGAATGGGAAGAGTTTCTCCATGGCAAATGCTCCTAGTTATTTCATGCTATGTCTGTTTCTCATCCAAACAGAAAATTGTCACAGCATGGGATGGTTTCCAGAAGAGGTGTTGGAAACTTGGCTCCATGTTTCACCGCCACTGATGGGGTCAAGAGAGACAGACACTCTGAGAGACACACAGCCGTGGCAGTAACCAGACCTTAAAACATAATGGGAAGCCCTGGAAAGACTAAAACCAAATTCTCACCCTCCACAGCAGAGTCTAGCCTTAGCACCCAGCAAGCTGCTGACAGCTCGTTCACACCTTGCACACAGCCTGGAAGAGGACTTAAGCTGGACAATGCTGTTTAGCCACACTACATTTCTTGCTGCTCAGTTATGGGATTGGGTAACCTCTCCAAATAGCTTTGCAAAATATTTGATCACTAAATGCCATGAGAGAGAGATTGCTTGCTCTGTTAACACAAGAAAGGACTGATGTCCCTTTCCAAAACATGGTATGATCAGCTCTGCCAACTGTGTTGGCCTGGCATCCACTAGATTAATGTCAGTTTTAATTTCTCATGTGACTGGCTGGCTGGAAGCATCCCTTGCAGGTGGTGCTGGCTCACCCTAAGCACCCTGCACTCTGCAGGGTCAGTCTTGTGCAGCAGACCAGCTTTCCTTCAAGGTGCTGTCAGCCTGGCACAGACTGCACGGTCCCGTAGAGCCAGCATGTGACAGCTCATGTTCCCAGCAAGTACCAGCACAGGGCTCAGCAGCCCCGAGAAGTACTGGAAATGGCAAAAGCTGGCCATCAGGGTAGTTTAATACCAGATGCAGGTATTTGGGGTTGTAAAGTGTACGGAAAGGCAAACATACTTCTTCCCCAGAAGAAAGGGGATAAGCGTGCAGTCAGGTGTTCACAGCCCAAGGCGACGCAAGTGCAATGTCCTCAGTGACAGACAACAGAAGTAGGGAGAGCAGAGTGCACGGCTCACAGACGGCACACCTGGCCTGCCAACATGCCATCCTACCCAAACCACCTCTGGCAAGCCCACCACAGATCCTTTACAGCCTCTCCCAGCAGGCTCTGGGCTGAGATGCTCATTAGAGCCCTGACCCTGAGCAAATGACGACTCGTGGGATAACAAGACTACTACAGGAAAGCTGTGCAGGGGCTCTGCGTGGTTATTCTGCTACTGAAAGAAACCTCCCCCGTCTGATTTGATCATTACATGAGCCCAGGAAGGAACTGTGTTTGGTCCTTGGAGAGCTCACTAAGTTAGTATTTCGGCAGGAAACGGGTGCCTGTGCACCAGAATCTAAATATAGCTTCGAAAAATAAAACCAAGCTCCACTCCATCTGATCAAGAGAAAAGTCTTCAGAGGGTAAACCAAGACAGGAGTCCTTGTGCAGATTTATGAGGCTTCTAAATAACAACTTGGAGAGGTCTGAACCAAATCCATCCCTTGAGTGGTAGTGCAACTACATAACCCCAAAGTCCAGCTATAACTTCCTTTGCTGCCTGCCAAAATTTGTGAAAAGGATAGGAAAGGTCCCTTAATGAACTTCACCAGTGACTCAGATGACCAGACACAGCATACTGTCTGTAAGTTCGCAGAAGATACAAGGCAGGGAGGAACGGCCAGCAGAGCAGATGGTTGTGCTGCCCTTTGCAGGGACCTCAGCAGGCTGGAGAGATGGGCAGATGGGAATCTCATGAAGAGAAAGCCCTGAATGTGGGCAAGCGCAACTGCATGCACAGGGAAGAGGGAGCAAAGACAAGGGAGCCAGACCTATCTCAGCAGTCCAAATTAAACACAAGAAATTTTGTTTAAATATAAGAACTCCTTGAACACTTGATGGATGGAGCACCCATCCTTTGAGGTACTCAAAGTCTCTCTCCCTGAGGAGAGCCCAATGCTTTTGTGGTCCCAGGCAGCCAGCTCCATCTGACCCAACTGTGAGCAGGAAGGTCAGAAAAGATGAGCTCCCTCCAACCCCAGCTGCTCTGCAATTGGACACAGAATTCATTGTACTCTTTTTATGAGGCAGGTAACGCGTTGAGAGCCACAGCACATCTTCTGCCCCCTGTCCCCCCCTCACTGATTGCTAGCAAAGAGCTGGATTCCAAGAGCTCTGGCACTTTTCCCAAAAGAAGCGAAGCTGTTAAAAAATACTTACAGGCTTCAAACTTTGGGAAAGAAGACGTTAGCCAAATCAGTTTTTCCATTCATCTACGGGATGGGATGAGATCATAAGAGCAGGGACAACAGAAATCCTACAACACGCAGCTCTTCAAATGCTAAAACATCTCTGCAAGACTGAGGAAAAAAAAAATAAAGAAACAACATGAGAGAGAGAGATGAAACTTGGTTTACTGGACCCTCCTAATGGAGCTCTAGTGCCTAGGATCAAAGATTACTTGATTAAAATCCAATTTCAAAGCTTATTAACTTTTGAATGAGAAATGCTGCTATGCGAGCTAACTCGGGCAGGCTATTTCTGGCTTGGTAGAAGTGAATGGTAGGGAAAAACAGCTCTTTGCTTATCAGCATCTAGCTTAGTCCCGGACACAGCAGGAGAACTCAAGATGGCCTTTAAGGTCTCTTCCAACTCCAATGATTCTATGATCCCATTCCCTCATGAGCTGACCCCAGTACTCCCAGCAGAGCCCCCCCAGCCCTTTTGCATCCAACCCCAAATAGCTGCAGGACCACCCACTGGCACAGCAAAGCCATCTGTCCCTAGTTCAACTAGGTGTTTTTTTTTCTGTAGGTATGAAAAAATGGGGTTTTACCACTTGTAAGGTTGAAAGAGGCAGGAGCAGCACTGACTTCTGGAGGATGAACACTGAGGGGTTCTGTTGGCTGTTGCTGGTCCAGATCATTCTCCCTGCTCACTGATGGGATCCATTCCATAGGATTCCTGCTGATGAGGCCAGTCCTCAGACTTCTTTACTGTGAGATGGGACAGCAGTGGAACAGGTTGCCCAGAAAGGTGATGGAGTCTTCTTCTCTGGTGACATTCAAGCTCCAACTGGGCGCTTTCCTATGTGACCTACTGTAGGGACCTGCTTTAGCAGCAGGATTGGACTGGGAGATCTCCAGAGGTCCCTTCCAACCCCATGATTCTGTGGTTCAGAACAAGAAATGGGTTATTCCTACATGCAGCACTGTAATGGCTGAGCAAGGACTCAAGGTCTGCATCCCATAGCGCATGGTGCCTCTGGGGAAGGGAGCACCTTGGGCAGCACAACCCAAAATCTAACTCCAGCTCCAGCAAATAGACAGGTGAGAGCAGCTGCCCTCTTCATATAACAACAGAGAGAAAAGGGTAGAGCACAGGCCAAGAGGAAGAAGGCCATAGCCCCATACATTAACACCAAACGCTTGAGTCCTTAATTTGTTTCATCCTGTAGTCACCAGAATGTAAACACCACTCCCAGTCCTACTTCTGCATTTATTTTTACAGCTGCAGGTACTGTAATCACTGTGCTAGTGATGCTTTAGTTGCTATTACAAATACACAAACTCACATCCATGTGCAGGCACGCATACACACACGCTCACTCCCCTCCGTCTTGAGAAATGGGCCCGTTCCGCTTTCTTCTGCTACTGATAAAATATTGATTAGGGAATTTGAAAATTTGAAATGATTTAGGAGTCCCTGGATGGGAAACGTAATGTACTGTGCCGGTCGCATTATGAGCCATCCATCACCTGTCAGCAAGCAGCAAGAAAGTGACAGAATCAATACAAACGTGTCTGAAGATGGGTTTAACTCATTTCCCTTCCCCCTTGGGTAATGACTGGAGCATCCCAGCCCGAGGACAAGGGAGGCTTGGGAAGCAGCACAAGGCCAACCTCCATCCACCTGGAGTGCAAAGAAGTCTGTCCCTAAAGCCTGCCGCTGCTGGTAAACATTGCCAGCTCCTGTCTCTCTCAGCACACGAATGCTGGGCCCTGTGACATCCTCCCAGAGACTCACACAGCACCATTCTGCTGCAGGAGGGAGCAGGCTGGGCAGTGCCAAGGTGTGAAGCCCTGCCTTGCTTCCCTAACCCATTGCTGCCCATTGCCTCCCTATGGACATCTCAGCATCACCATCCCTCCTACACAGCTCACCTGCAGGCAGCACTCAGTTCATTACATCATGCAGCTTGTATCTGCTGTTCTTTTTAGGTTCAAGAACCCCTTAAAATAAAGAAGGGAGTGGGAAAAAAAATATATATATATATATATATATATAATCCATCTGTAGGGTGATATATTGTGCTCCTATACTTTGCAGATGGATTCAATTGGCCTGTGATCCTATTTTGCAGATTCTCTCAGAGCACCATAATTCATCCTGCAGGATATTTCAAATAAGACTGGACAGAGAATGGGAGGAATGACAGAAGCAGAGCACCCTGCCATGCGGGCATGGTGACCAGGCAGGCTATTGCTCATGCATTATTAGAGCTAATTATTCAGAGGGCACACCGCAGGAGGTGATGAAGGCACAAGGGCAGCTCAAACGAGCCCAATGGAGCAGCCTGAGCTCAGAGAGCCTGCTCTCAAAAGCAGTTCTCAGCTCCTGCCTGCTCACCGTGGGCAAACATGAGCACTAGCCATGTAGCATGCATGGGCAGCCTGATCTGGTGCCTGAATTAGTGGTTGGTAACCAGCCTGGAGCAGGGAATTGGAGCTGGATGGTCTTTGAGGTCCCTTCCAAGGCAGCCATTCTGTGATGCTACAATTCTTTCTGTGAGGGTAAAGCTTCAGTCTTCAGCCAGTGCCAAAGCACCAAATTTGCATTAGGTTTAGCCCTCCTAATGTGAGCAGTGGGAGCCAGAATAGTGCAACAGCCTGGCCCTATCATTCTGCTGGTGGTAAAGCTTCTTACAGAAAAAGAAATCTCATTTATTTTGCCTTTAGTTCCATTATTTAATAGACTGCAAAACCCTTAACATGAGAGTGAGTTACTGCATCTGTGCAATTTACTCCAGATACGTCCCTTCTACCTTACCATCCCTAATAGGCTCTATAAATGGCTTCCAAATCCAGCAGAAGTGGTCTATTTGCTGCCTAGTATACCATGTAATCTTTTGCAGAGGTGGTATTGATCTTGTTAAACCTGCAGCCATTGAGTCCACAAATGCATCTCATCTTTTGCTTTCTACAGCAGAGCTCCTCTTCTGGCCACATAGCACGGCTCATGTGAGAGCAGCAGCCTACCTTGACCTGCAGACACAATGGTCACCAGGTTTCTGAGAACAATTTAATTGTCAGTAGAGCCATGGCTGCAAGGGATGCAGTCAGAAGCAATACCCAGTCTTGGGAAGAAATGTCTGAGTCATTTTAACTGTCAGGGATAGAAATTAAGGACTAATTCAGCCCATAACAGGTGCTGAATGCTGAGCCCAGGAGCAGTTTTGCTCGTGGCTAATGGACTTTCATAGTAAGGCTGGCTCATAGCTCACAGCTCTAGGATGCTCACAAGATTCACCTTGCTGTGGCCTTGCCAAACTTTCCTCACATATTGACAAAAGGAGAAAGTTGTGCTGTTATTTGCACAGTCTCTCCAAACTGCTCTAGATGAGGCATCTTAGAATCATTGGACTATTGGAAAAGACCTCTCAGATCACCAAGCCCAACCCCAGCCCATCTCCAACACTGACCACATCTCCACTCCATGGTTCTTCAACACCTCCAGGAATGGTGACCCCTCCACCTTCCTGGGCAGCATGTGCCAAAACTTGTAACCATCCATCCCAGCATTACTTGCTCCTCAGCAGAACAGAAGATGAAGGGACAGCCCAGGATCCAGATCCTGAAGAGCCAGTCTAGGATCTTCCCTTCTGGAAAATAAGATAGAGAAGCAGAGTCAAGTCTAGCCAGAAAGTTAGCACTGATGCACTCAGATCCATTACCAGCATCCAGAGGACAGATGGCAGCTCTGCAGTGCAATGTTGGGACCATGACTAGTGTCTTTCTCATAGACAGGGCTCTCATGCTGCCAGCTTCCATCAATAACCAAGGGAGGTGGTGATAAGCAACAGCTGCCTGGCCCAGAGGCTCTGGGGTGCCAAGTGGAAAGAAGAGAGATGTGGTTCTCACCCTCTGACATCCACACTGCCCCAGTTGTGTCAGTGCTGCTTGTCAGCCCATCTGTCATGGGGCTGCTTCCTTCTGGGGTGAGGGACCGGCAAAGGTTGCTGCATACATTGGACAATTTATCTTCTTGGGTTGTTGGGACAACAGGCCTGACAGTCCCATCCGTTATCCCACAAAGCTGAACTCAAACACACCCTCAGAGAGAGGGGCAGGGAACAACTGCAGGGACCAGGGAAGCACTATAAGCTGTGTGGTTCCCAGCTCCTGTAGCCTTGGGGAAAGGCAAAGTAGCAACATCACCTGAGCACTGAAATCCCTGCAGGAATTATGGAGGTGTAAGCCCCAGAAACAGAACATTTTGCTCATCACCTGCCATCCTACCTTACCATATCTAGATGGTGCCCACATGTCCTGGATGCAGTGCTTCAGGACCCACAACCCAGAGAAGAACAAGCTTGTACGATGGCTGCTCCAAAAGTGATGCCTTCTATTTTATTTTGCCAGCTCACGATGTCAGAGGCAGATCATAGTGCAACAGCAGTAGAGGTTGAAACATTCCACCAATATCCCACTACATGTTGTTGTGCTCTTCTTATCTACTGTAGTTTCCATGGAAATAAATAGAAGGCATGATCTGGCTACTCACTGTGACCCACAGCTGCCCAGAGCAGGAACTCAGGATGGTGAGGCACTGGAACAGAGACACGGTAGTGCCCCATCCCTACAGACATCAAGATCAGGGTGGATGGGCTCTGAGCTCTGATGGAGCTGAGTTTCCCTGTTCAGTGCAGGGAGTGGGACCAGATGGCCACTAATGCTCACTTCCAACTCAAACAATGCTGTAACTATGATTCCAGGTACCACCAGGCCCAGGAGCCATCTCAGGACACAGCCAGGAGACAGACACCTGTCTGATACAGCCTGTCATATGTGGGGAGGAGGGGAGACAGCTCTTCAGGCAAATCATTTCATCTGCCTCGAGAAAACAGGCTGTTAAAATGATGGAAAGAGATGGGTTGTTTGAGCAGTCTCAGAGCTGCTTTCAGAGAAGGCTTCCACGTAGGAACGTTGATTGCAAATACTTATTAACTGCTCCTTCATTTTCAAAGAGACTTGATGCATATGTTTACATATTTTGATACGTTTTTATTAATCCTACTTACTGTTTAATTCCCTGCCCTGCCCAGAAGAACTGTCACCAAGCAACCCACACGCAGCTGCAACTTCTGCAAGGCAGGCATGGGTACAAGAAGAAACATAAGCGTCTGCACCAAGGAACACTTCTTCAGCTTGAGCTGAAAGGGCTGTTTCGATCGCAGCCTCCCAAGAAGAGGGTCTTCCTGCAGAGCATTGGGTCACCCACCCCTTGGGGCCACGTTCAGGTCCCCTGACAAGTATTACCTGCCACGACATAATCAAATTCCCTTTTAAAGGCTCATTATATTTCTGGTCTCCTCACATCCTGGGACAACAAGTTGCAACAGCTGAGTTACTTCTCCCAAACACACACAGCTCTGTGATGCAGTTCAGTTCAAACCCACATTGCTCCAAACCCGCATGGAGACTGAAGTTTTCAGCAGGCAGCCCCAGCTCCTTGCACTGCAGGAAACAACAAACTATTGCTTCCTAATCACCTCCTCAGCACTGCTTAGAACTGTGTAGGTCTCTCACCACTCCATCTTTTCCAGACTGCTGCATCCTAATCTGGTTCATCCTCATGAGGAAGCTGCAAGGCACCGCAGCAGGATGCAAGCTCTCCTCTTGGAGCCTCTCCTCCCACGAAATACCTGAAGGTCTGTTTGTTTTAAGCAGGGCTTGAGAGCAGGGAGGTAAGAAGTAGAGACACGATGCTAAGGATGGAGGAGGATCCCAATCTCTCTTGCATGACTGGTAGGTGCAGTCCCAACCCAACACCCACAGTGCTCACCTTGCCCTACAGCAGATCATCCCAGTGACCAGCAGAGCTCACCCACCCATGCAAAGCTCTCAGTCAGAAGGGCTCTACCACAGAGAAAACAGCAGCAGGCCTTTCTGCATGCACAGAGCTCATCCCTCCCTCATTGCAACCATGCAATCCCAGGGGCCTTAATTAACGGGCATGCCTTCTCACTGGGAGCCACGTTGCCGAAACATTTACATGTTAAACTCCTTTGGACAAGTTCACAGGC